GTTTCACGCCATGGACAACGGGGAAACGATGGTGAATCTAAAAAAAGGAGATTTTGGAAAGGTACGGTTAGCAAATGACGAGATGCTTCAAGTAACGGGCATGGGAGATATTGATCTAGTTACTTCATTGGGAACTACATGGAGCCTGAAGAATGTCAGGGTTATTCCGGAGCTGAAGAAAAAATTGATTTCTGTTGGTCAGCTGGATAAACAAGGACTGGAAGTAAGGTTTGGATGGTGGTCAATGGTAATTCGGTGATTGCTCAAGGTATGAAGCGTGGGTCATTGTATATGGTTGAGGTACCTGCTGAGGGAAGTATGACCATCCCGATTAAGCAAAACAAAATCTGGTTCGCTAAATCTACTGCTAAGAGAGTTCATTTTGCAAACATGAATTCTGGAGCCAAGGGGATGTTAGCTGAACGAGTCGGAAAATCTAAACCATTCAGGGGATTCTGTGACAGTGGGAGCACGAGGTGTGTTCCGGGTACAGTTACAAAGAGCCGTTGGGTTTTGAAGACTAAGACTGGAAAATTCTCTCTTGTTGGAAGTTTGCAAAGTTTGGAGAGTGTTAGTGGTCCTCAGTGTATCTCTGGATCTGGTGGAGTGTCCAAACCGGTTGAGACAGAGGATGAGTCGGTGGTGGGATTAGCCACGACTGAGTTGGAGCTAGTGGGAGCTTCAACTGGCCCTTCTAGTACTTGAAGATGAGGGGCGGCTGCAATTAGAGAAATGGGACTAAGTTTAGCTTGTTCTTAGGAACTGGAGGCTTGGAAGACTTGGTTGTTTTAAGATTACTGGAGTTGGATGACAGAGACGGACCATGTTGTTCAAACTTTCAAGTGGGAGATTGTTAGGTAAAATATGAAAGGTTGAAAACATGTGGCTATGCATGTGAAATAAAAGAATCAAATTCAAAACTGAAAGTTGGAAAATAAGTGGTGCATTCAACATGTTCAAACTTGAAGTTGGTAGACTTTAAATTGGTTACAACTCTTTCTGTTTTCACATGGCAAACATTCACCTATATATATGCATGTATGATTTGCATATTTGGTGTGCAAAAACTTGAGAGAACATCAAGTGTAGAGTGTCAAGCCAATTGTAATCTTGTGAGTTTTAATAAAATTCTCTAGTTGCAGCCCGTGGACGTAGGATTTGCACCGAATCCGAACCACGTAAAATCCTTGTGTTCTTCTTGCTTTATTTTCGTGAGTTTGTGTGTGTGTGATAGTGTGTTTCCGCTGCGTGTACCCGGTCCGGTTCCTAACATTTATCTACTTGCTTGTTTTAGTGTTTTTCCTTAACTGTTGTTTTTGTAAGTAAAATGGCCGAATGAATGGCAGTATATTGGTTCTTATTATTGGCTTTAATTTGGTGCTTTGACTTAATTGCAGTTTTTGGTACTCTATTTAATAGCTTTATTATGGTGAGTTGTTCCCTAATACATTACTATACTGTCAAAATATGTTGTTTCTTACCACGTAATGTTTGTTGTTTTTTTTGTTCAACATAACCACTAATTCAAAACATACAAAAATGACATACTTTGTTGTCCATTACACATCCACCAAACAACTAGACAATATAACCCACCAATACAATGGTTACTTTATACAAACTACCAAAAAACTAGAATCCCCAATTTATGCTACTAATATCATATTTTCTTAAATAAAACCAAGAAAAAAAAACGCAAAAGTCAATCAGGAAGAACTTCAACACCATTACTTCTTAGTTTTTTTAGGGAAAATTTAAGAGCGTTTTTTGACCGTATGAGCCTTGGAATCACAGCTATTGCCCTTCGACATGTATATGGTCGAACCAAACAATGAATCGGTATTGTCTACGACATTCAGAACGTTGCTAGATACTCCGTACTAGATTGATATCTGTCTATGATGTTACAACATTGTTGGGCCATCCACAATAGCAAAAAACCATTGTTTTTTTTTATCGTAACAAATATAAGGAAGAAGAGATCAATCAAAATCAGTTGGGGGGAGAATAGTTTTGGATTAAGAAATGATGTGAAGCAGTAGAAAGAGGGAAGAGGGGTTTAAAATGACCCATTTATTCATTGAAGATGAAATGAAGAATTTCCCCCTCACATGAAGGGCACATGTGTCGACTAACGTCTAAATTGGGACGACGTTGGCCAAAATGATCAGACAGGCAAGAAAAAAAACCACATGGAACAAGCGTTGAAGAATTCCAATATTTATACTATTTGTACGGAGTAGTCTGTTTTGGCAAACCACACGGACAATTCCCATAATTTTGTCTTTAATTTATGGGTTGAATAATGGTTGGATATCTTTAATATTTTTCATTCATGTTATGTCGTCTCCTACATCGACCATATCATGGCTTCTCTCCAAGCATATAACCTTATGGTCATCTATTATTTTGTTTCATAATAGAGTTCTTCCCTTTAAAAGAAAAAATTAACGGGGCTTAACATCTTATGTTTCATATATAGGACATAATATCACATCATAAAGGATACATTGTATTATATATTAATGATGCGAACCGGAACTTAGTTTTCGGATCGGAGTTGGGCGCCGTTAGTGACTCCCTGACTTGATTCCTATCTACTATTAGGTAGTAAAACCGTTAGAACCGCCCTAGTGCATGTGCCCTTGGAGCAGGCTCCGACAGTAACGATACTAGAATATAAAATCACCTAGTTCACTAAGTATGTTCAACCAGACCAATACTTACATTGATTTGAAAATCGGACCACACAAGTGGTTCGACATATTGAACTGAGAACCGTTCATGTTACTGTATTTTAATCTCAAAAAACGCTTGTTAGCAAACAAGGTGGAACCGGACGAATTTCCAAAAACACCCGTTCAACCAGACCAACCAATTGGACCCTTCAAAAAATTTGGCTTTAATAAATATATGTACTAAATTTATTTAAAAAACCAAATTTTATAAATATATGTATTAAATATTTAAAAACAACTTCAAAAACAAATTTCTAATAAAAAGACGTCCCGACTAACCGATTTTTAACTTATTTGCTAACATAGCTTCCATGCAAAAAGGCACTTAATTTTTTTGTGTATCTTGTTATTGTTATTTGTAAGACATCATCTCTCACATATTTCATTTAGTTAGACGATATGTAACTAAGTGTAGGTGGTAAATATAAGTTTTTGAATCAATTTTTTTTCAAAGATATCTAATTTTCTTTTAAGTAAAACACCTTTTTTTCCGAGCACAAGGTAGATCTTTCAAATTTTTTTAGATAGGTCCTAATCTTTTGGGTAAATAATTTATAGTAAATCTCGAAAAATTAGGTGGGTGAAAGGATAGGAGTGTTCATGGATGGTTAACTCAACCGAAATCAATTTTTGGAAGGTTAACCGAAACAATTGGTTCGTTAATTTATTGAACCTAATCCTAAACCTAAAAATATGGTTAGCCGGCTTTCGGTTAACATTTTTTCCCGGTTAGGTTATCAGGTTAACCGATTAACCGTCTATGAATTAATAAATGTGTTTCGAAACTATAAAACTCCCTAATAAAATCCAAAACAAGGATAATCGTCCATTAATACAATCTTTAAGAAAAAGCAAAACGAGAAATATAAATTCAAATTTAAAATTCATCATCTTATAGTTTTGCACTTCCATAGTCATCGACATCGTGAAAGAATCATCAATCTTGAATATGATAAACATATACTCTAACGTTAGATTTTATAGGTAGAACATAAATGCTTGTATAAATTGAATCGTGGCTTAATTATTTAATAATTTTTTTTTGATGTGCTATAATGACCATATAACATAACAGATATCTTTACTTATTTTCAATATATACATCATGTTTCTATTTATACATCTTTTTTATTGTCTTATAAATAGGAATAAACTCATAAAAAAATCTCGGTTAACCGTTCGTAGCAAAAAACATGAACAGTAACCAAACGGAGAAACCGAAGATTTTTAGCAGTTCCGTAAACCAAACTGGAAAAGTAAAAAAAAAAAAATAAAAGAACGGTTTGGTTAACTGAAAATTCGGTACGGACTTTCGGATTTTCGGTTCGGTTTTTCAGTTTTGGATATTTTGAACACCCCTGTCAAAGAACCCACATTATGGTAGTGTAGTGCTGTCCCTGGACTCCAACGATCAATTAAGTTAGATCGATACGTGAGGATGAAGATGGTTTATCTTACTTGAGAGAGAACCATCTTGGTGGAAGGTGTAGGGTTGTCTCTGGGCTCCAACGATCAAAAAAGGTTTAGTAGAATAGTACTTTGTATACAAATGATAAAACTTGGTGGCAAAAGTTAAATAAAAAAACGTTTTGTGGCGGTTAGAAAAATTTGACAAAAAGTTGAAAGCCGGGAGTTAAAGCCCAAAATCAGTATTTGCCGCCTCAAAAAAATCGTTACACAACCTAAAACAGCTCCAAGAAATCAGCGTTTAAGGGCAGGGGGTGAGTTCGCAAGAAAAAAATAAAACCCTTTCGGGTTTTCATCCACGTACGATCAAGGCATGTCTTCATCGCCAAACTTAGAATAAATCAATGATTATGTGTTTCTTATATGTGCTCGATTGCTTAACTGACTTCCCATGTCCTATACTACCAGAAAACTCATTGTTTAAAGTTAGGTTGAATCTCGATTTTGGGTGTGTGTTATATCAATTAGTTTTAATTAACTGTTTCTTAGGATAGATGATACTTAAATACAAATTCTTTAGTTCGAATCGTGATCAAAACATGGGAAATAAAACTTCAAAATTTGCTTGTAATGGCTCTTGTTTTCATCATATTTTGTTTGCTTTTTTGTTATTGTATTTCAGTTATAGCTGCTCTTAAGCAATTTGAAGTTAGCTGTATAAGAAGTTGAGTGCTTAAAGCCATTTTGTACGTACTTCTTTGATAAATGATCACAAGCTCAAACACTTGGCTTAAAGACTGTACAAACTTGGCTTCAAAACACACAGATATTTATGTTTCTTTTTCAAGTGTAGGAATGGTTAACACAAGGAGTATGACTAGGAATGAAAATCATAATGCATCTAGCCAGAAGAGGTTCAAGACATGTGATGATGATGATGATCCAGCACCATGGTCAGATCTTAACCATGAATTGCTTTTTACAGTTATGATGCAACTGGGAGTTGTTGATTTTCCTGGATTTAGTGGAGTTTGTAAGTCATGGAGGTCATTTGCACTTTCAAACAAAAACAAATTCATGGAATCCAGACCACCCATGTCCGTATCCATCTTTACAGAGTCTAATGAGCAAGACTACAACTATTATCTAGATGATATAAATACTGAAGGAAGAAGCTTCAATTCCATTCTTCCTCATTCTGGTGGAAGGATATGTGTTGGTTTTACTTGTGGTCATTTGATCTTATTCGGGAGTAAAACTCGTGATTTCTGGCTTCTGGATCCTGTCACAAGGCATGGAGTCCATTTCCGTGATATCCCTTCTTCAGTAAGCGATGATCCAGCAAAAATCAAGGGTGTTCTTGTCATTTCACCTTCAAAATCTGGGTGGGTGTTTGTTATGACAGATGGATCCACGAATATATGGTATTCTATATCGGGTCAAGGCGAATGGAATTATGTCTCATCAACTTCTCCAATTGTTGATTTACATACTTTGAATGGAAAAGATGTATGCCATAGACAATGTGTGTCATTTATGTGAGCTCATACTTAATCCTGAGCCAAAATTATCAATACTTGAAACCAACAATTTTCCTATCTTTCCCAAATGTCAGCAGTTTTTCAAATCGTGTGAAAGTCTTTATGTGATGGGATGTCTACCAGAAGGTTATTATTTCTATCACAAGCTAGATTTTGAGGAAATGGAATGGGTGTTATGTAAAAGTTCAAGAAAAGGAGGGCCATCATCTAGTCATAAAAAGTTGAAGACAAGTGCTCCTGTTAAACATGGAAAAGGTAAGTTATTTATTTGGAATTAGAAACATATGGTATATCCCAAAATTGTTTGAATGATAATCTGATACATAGGCGATCATAGCTTGTTAGCACTCTTATCTTTTTTATTTTGAATTCTCATATGTTTGAACATTTTCAAGATGCCACAACTATAAATTTTATATCCTTTTGCTGTAATTTGGTGTTCTTTGCTTTAAATTTTTAGCTAATGCAATATGTGTAGCACATTGGCATGTTGTTATGCCTACGAAGGACCTTTTGGTGGTCTTTTCATTTGAATAGAAATTGTTATTGAGAGAATGGTGTGGCACCATTTGATATAGTAATTGTAGAGGTAATATTTTTGTATTTTCAGATATGATTTTACCTATGGACTCAAGGTTATTGTTTGTATGTAGTGTTATCTAATGATTTATACTTAATAAAATTAAACCCACTATGGCTTATTGTTAAAACTTTAATATATTAACTTGGGTATGCTTTCCATTGGATGAAATTGTTTTTGGCACCCATAGAAAGAGATCGAGTACTAGAACTTGGCTTTTCTTGATATAAAGAGACTAATTAAGAGATGTTATATTATTCATCGTTTTCATTTTTAACACCAATAAATTTATTTGGTTTTTTTAGTTCTTTTATCTTTATGATTAATTATAGGGATGAGCATATGGACCGTGGAACCGGCCGGAACCGGTACCGGAACCGGAACCGGCACCGGAACCGGAACCCGATGGAACCGGTCGGGCCGGGACCGGGACGTTATTTTTGTGGATTTTTGGAACCGGGAACCGGTAAGAACCGGAACCGATATAACCGGAACCGGTAGAACCGGCAAAAACCGGAACCGTATGATGCTATTTTCGAGGACCGGTTTCAACATTTGAAGACACGACAAGAACCGGTAGGAACCGGGAACCGGTAGAACCGCCGGGCCGGTTCGGTTCTTGATTTTGGCCGAAGCCGGTTCCCGGGTCGGGTCCGGTTCGGGCCGGTTCGGTCCTTTTGCTCATCCCTAATTAATTATAAATGTGATTTAGTCATTACATGATTGAAGCTAGTCCCGGTAATCAACATACCATATATATACAAGAGTCATTGCTAAAGATGATCTCTAATTCTTGATTCTTATAAGACTATCTTCAATCACAATCACAATCAACTCGATTATCCATTAAAGATTATTTTTTTTTATCATTTTCACCTCAACCATTAGACTTTTATATTGGACTCCTCCGGGCTTGAATATAGATGAATATATTAGAGACAAAATTTCATAAATGGTTTTTGTGGTTTTCAAAAAGTTGCATTTTGAGGGTATCTTGTAACACGTTAAAGTGATGGTCCTTATAGTTTTTAAACCGTTACACGGTTTGACCATTCGGTTGTTAAATCCAAATTTGATATGTTAATATTTTGAGAATGACCCATTTACCTTTGGATCGACTATAAAATATGTAATGTACCATAATGACCATTTTGTAATTTGAGTAAAATGAATAAAATCTATATTTTATTATTAGTTTTTTAAACTAAACATATGAATAATTATAAAATAATCATAAAAGATAAATTTTTAATATAATGTTGAATTATTTATACTTAAAATATGAAAAATTATTTTCTATCATTTATAAAAATATTTCATGCATTATATACACACTAAATATTTTTAGAAAATTGTTATCTATAATTTCAATGATTATGTTTTACCTAATAAAAAATATCATTACATTAACTTGGGATAATGACATAAAAACAATGATTATTTTTGGACCTGGCAACTCATGGCAAAGCAATGTGTTGTTTAAACTTTTAACGACAAGATTCAATTTCATGCGGGGTTTTCATCTCGAGGATTACATCTTACAACGTAATAATCACTCGTGGATAGTAATTTACTTTTGTATATATTGATAGACAACTTTTTTTCTATCCTTTCTTGAGATTAAGTTAATCATGAAGGGTCAACTTAATTTATGTTGTCGATAGGGGAGATCATAAGTGGGTACCTAGTAAATTTCTTAGAACTGTTCCTATGATGTTAGTACCCAACTGCTTATTCTGGTTCTTTAGAATTGTGAACCGTACTTGGTATAGGGTACCTAATTTCTAAATATTTTTAAAATATCTTATTAGTAACCCAATTTGTTCAGGAATATGCACCATCAAGGGAGAGCTTGTAGAAGGAGCTTTGATCAAAGGAAAGCTTGTAGATCCAAATTGCACTCATCATTTCCTGCTTCAATGAGGTATAAAGCTTGGAACTTTCTCATTGTATGCTTAGATCTAGTTATTATAGAGTTTTGTTCACTTTTTTGTCCCATGAGTGAGATCTAGTGGGATTCTTCCACTCCAGAAGTTAGGAGTTGCTTATGTTGATGTTTCTGCGGTCCCTAGTCCATAAAGTTAGCATCTTGACGGTTGAGGATCAACCATGCATGTGTTTATGTCAATTTGGTGAAAGTAGGATGCTAAATATAGGGTTTGAGTTCATTTGAGCCATGAAAAGGCTCCAAGTTAGTAACTTTGTGGATTATGACGTTGACCAAGGCTTGGATCTGAAGTTTGGACGTCTGGTTGTATGCATTAAGTGCTTAATGGAAAAATGCTTAATGGGTGCGTACGTTGCATGTACACGTTCGAGTCCCCGATCAGGCAAGCCACCCAGTACGTCGGGCGTACTTTTGGTACGCATACCGTACTAGGCCTGGTCATGGGCTTTTATGGTTTGGGCTATATTTGGACTATTAGGGTTTTGGGCTTTGTTGGGCTACGTGCCTTTCTGACTTTGGGCCATTCTTAGGCTTTGGGCCTTCTTGGATTTGTGCCCATATTGGGCTTTAGGTGTCCTTCAGGAATTGGGCCACTATTGGGCTTTTAGTGCCATTGAGTTTGGGCCTCGGTTATTGGGCGAAGTGAGGGAAGGGTAAAATGGTCTTTTACCATAGGTGCTAGACAAATAAACTAGATTCCCAATTATGGTTTATGACCAAATTATTAATCGGGGTGTTATTTGATTGTTTAACGTGAGGATTCTCTGGTTCAGCACCCCGATCATCTTTTTGATTGACAGCAGACTGAGGTGAGTTTGCTCACTATACTGTAGGACACTAGGATATGTTATGTGCTTGTAGTCTTTGTAACTCCTGTTGTATGTGTTGTAAGCGTGTGTGTCTGTTTGCTATATGTTTGTGGGGTGAAATAGACCCAGGGGTGAAATAGACCCGGTACAGCCTTATGCTGACATATAAGTTGAAGTAAACTCGGGGGTGAAATAGACCCGATACATCTTTAGGCCAACACATAAGTTGAAATGGACTTGGGGGTGAAATCGATTCGAGGGTGAAATAAACCCGACACAGCCTTGAGCTGGCGTATATGAATGGTATGCGGTATTTTGGGGAACTCACTAAGCTTCGTGCTTATGGTTTTCAGTTTATGTTTCAGGTACTTCCGGATCAAATGGGAAGAGCTCGGGATGATCGCATCGTTCATACCATGACTTTTCACTTATTTGACTCTGATCTGTTTTGGATGATTATGAATACATTATTATTTCCCTTTGGTTTTGATAAACACGTTTGGTTGATGTTTATTTAATATAATTTTTTTTTATGGTTTTGAGTTTTAGGACGTTATAAGTGGGTTTCATAGCCTTGGTTTGAGGGATTCGAGCATACTATTGGGTATGTCTGAACCAAAACTGAGGGTTTTGTAGGTTTTTCATAAAAAGAAATGTTTTATAAAATGAGTTTTTTCTAAGAAAATAAAGGGGTGTGGTGCATGAAATCGACCGAGCTCAAGTAAGTTTTCCCACAATACCCATACATGTTTTGTGTTATGCTTTCAAATGTGAGTCTATGAATCTCATGCTAGATTAGGGCTAAGGATCTGCTCAAGATTACATGAAAAAATGCTAGGAGATATGCCTTTATATGCATGTTGTATGAGCTTGTAGACTTGCATGCTAGTACTGATCAGTCAGTGATAAAATGGCCTGTTTAGGTTTTGCCTTGATTCTGATTACTCAATGCTCGAATGGTGCTTTCTTTGTGATTTTAGGAGTTTCCATTAACCTCAGCTAACTAGTAAGAGAATATGCTAAGTTACATATTATTGAGACAAGATAATTATAGAAGGTTAGGTTTTAACTCTATTGTGCAACTCTTGTTTGAGTCCAACCGTTGTAGTGTGAGACCTATCTAGTGTCGGTGGTATGTAATTGTATTCATATGCTAGTTAGAGGGTCTCGGGGGGAGTTCCTTTTGCAGCAGATGGCAGATAGTGATGTGGTGGTAGCCTTAGGAAAACCTAGGAGGTGATTAAGAGGGCACACCATATTTTCTTTTCCAACTATGGGAAAACCTTCTGGTTGTGCTATGTAAATGTCTTCTTCAAGGTCGCCATGGAGAAAAGTTGTTTTCAGATCTAGTTGCTATAGATGGCGATCTTCAATGGCCACAATTCCCAAAACCATTCTGATTGTAGTCATCTTCACAACTGGAGAAAAGATATCATTATAATTAACCCCCTCTTCTATTGGAAACCCTTGACTACTAAACTTGTGATGTATCTCTTGGTTCCATCAATCTCATCCTTAACTCGAAACACCCACTTGTTTTGCCGATTTTTTCCCTGTTGGGAGCTTGACTAAGGACCAAGTGTAATTCTTTTCAAGTGAGCTCAATTCTTCTTCCATAGCCTTCTTCCACTGTAAGTATTCTTTCATCCTCAAGGCTTCTGGATAAGACTCAGGTTCATAATTCTTTGTCAGCAACAAGAAGTTTGCTGAAGGAGAATACCTTACAGGATGTATCACCCGACTCAAGGTACTTTTCATTTTGACCCTTAGTGTGTAAATAGTTTGCAAATTTGGTCCCTAGGGGGCATTGTTGCCATTTTCGGAAAAATAGGAGTACCCTGGGCGTACTTCTCGTATGTTGGGCATACGTAATCAGCGGACGAACCCTAATTTTAGAGTTTTGACCCTATTTAAGCAATATTATGAACCATAATCTTCTCATTTCCCATCCTCCATTACCCTTTCAGCCTCATTTCGAAACCCTAAACCATCTAGAAAGGATTTGACCTCTTTATGTGTGTTTTAGTGTATGTTGGTGAACCTTAAGGAAAAAGGAGCTTTGATCGAGGGAGAGCTTATAGATCCAGATTACACTCATCATTTCTAGCTTCATTGAGGTATGAAGCTTGGAACTTTCTCATTGTATGCTAAGATCTAGTTATTATGGAGTTTTGTTCACTTTGTAGTCCCATTAGTGAGA